CTCGGGAGAGAAAAGGCCGCCCTGTGCCAGGGCTGCTCCCTGTTGTGCCGGGGAGAGGGTTTACATGGGCAAGAGACCACGGCCGTGGTAGAACCTCCCCTGCCCGCCCCACGGGGCTGGAGGTACCCAAGGGTCGGAAAACGGAGGCAGAAGAGCAGTCTCTTCCCCACACTGCCCTCCATCATTTCTGACACAAAAGGGAAACGCACAGTGTTGCGTCTTTTGAGCCAAAAGCTCTTTTTGAGCCAAAGAGGGTTATTTGGGAAGAAAAATAATTATCTTCCAGTACTTCAAATCATATTTTACTTCTTGTGGAGGAAGGAATAAATGTGAAATTACTTTTTCTCGCTCTGAGAACTAACCATAACGTTTACCAATTTCATTACCAGACAGCAGAGACCATTTTCTCGCTCCAAAATCCAGTCAGTTTTGCTATGACTACCACTTCCAAGTGCCAAAAAAGAAGGGGGCTTGGGGAGGTTGGAGGGGGGCTAAAAATCACCTGTAAAGAATTAGGTAACAGAGTGTGAAAGGTCTCTGCCATTCAGGAAATACTTCCCGCTGGATTTAATTACAGATTGCAAGTTACCCGCCCTCCCCCTTTTTTTTTTTTTGAACTTCAGACGTACAATAACATGACATTTATTGAATGTGCTAGCATTGCAGCGCTCGGGGTAGTAAAAAAAGCCCGCAGAACTCTGTTGTTTACAATAAACTTTAAAAATACACTTTATATGCCAGATTAATGGGAGCTTTATGGAGAGGGCGCGTTTCGTCCTTCTGCATTAGGAAGTACCAATTACAGAGAGAAGAGCCAGCTCAGGCTGCGGGAGCGGAGCCGCAGACCTGCCCGTGTCCCAGAGCTGTGCTGGCAGCAGCACTGCCCAGCCACGTCCTGGGGGCAATCTGCCTTTTACAGCCCACGCAAGCTCCCTCCCCGCTCACAGCGTGCACAGACATTGGCTTCGGAGAGCGCCTCGCACATTTGGTCTAAATTGCGTGTTTTCCCCTCAGTATCTCAGCTGAGATGAGCGGTCCTGATACAACGGTATTAAATGTCAAACGAGCAAAAAACAACGTGCAAAGCCAACGCAACTCTGCATTCAATTTAGGCGGTGTCAAAGCAAGGAGCAGAAAGGAATGGCGTTGTCTTTTTTTTTTTTTTTTTTTAACTTTGCACATTTTTATAAAACCACCGAACCCAGCTCGTACTTGAGGCTCCTGTCCTAGCCACCTCGCAAGAACCCAGTTCTTTCCTCATTCCCTACCAATATTAGGTTAGTCAGCAGCAAGAAAAAAAAAAAACAAAACAACGATATCTGCCTACATTTGAGTCGCTAATTACACATGGCAATGTTAAAACTGTCCCTCTGTTGTGCATTTAATTTGCCCACTTTGGAATGAGACATTAGGATTTTATTTCTAAATGTGCTGATCAAATTGCGTCTCTGCTTCTGCAGCCAGAAATACAGCAGCTTTCCTCTCTGCGTAGGTAATGAGGCATCCAACACCCTGGAATTCATTTAAAAATGTGTATTCCATCATAATTATCTCCAGTCATTGTGCATAATAAAACAATTTGTTATAGATCAAATGCTGTGCATACGGATACATGGATTTGGGTATCGAGAATGTCTCTTAAACTCACAAAAGGGAATAAAACTCTGAGTCCAGGCAAAAATCTGTTCCCTGGAAGGTGTTATCCTGTCAGTGCTACGGGGTGATTTACAGGATCTGCCACATTTAGGAGCCTCTGGCTTGACTTTTTTTGGCTTTTATGAGCTGAAGAACAGAAGCAGGGTCACTGGAGAGATTAAGTTTCCTTTCTGCACGAACGTTAGGGAGGGAGACAGAGAGAGACACGGCAAATAAGTGCTCTGCTGTGCCCAGAAAATTAAAATACAGCTGGATTATGACTCTAACGATGTGCTTTGCCAGCTTTTGCTGGGTTCACAGCCTCCCAACACACAGCCATGGGCACAGAGAACTTGTATCCTCAGCATTTAACCAAACGAGAAGTTGGAAATGGTTTTCTTGCCTTTTTTGCTTCTCAATTTGTTTTTTAACAAAACAAAAAACTGCTCCCGTTCATGCAGAGCACACTGGAAATCAACAGTAAATTCATCCGCTGATAGATCCCTCTGTAAGGGAGCTGGGTTCAGCAAAGTGCCAATGCCAATAGAGTAGCATGAAGGCAGATCTTTTTGCTTTCCCTGTGCTACAAGCAATAAAAATTCAGGTGACAACTTACTCCGCAGCGTAGCACCAAAAGCAGGAGCACAGGTCCTCCCATCCCTTAAAAAGCACATACACAGGGGATAAGAAAAAAAAAATAATTTGAAAGCATTTGCAACATCCGATTTTCAACCCCTTTTTTCCATAGGTTATAGTTGTATATTAAGGGGGGAAATTGGATTTCAAATTCTGCCTGCACGTTTTATACATCTGCACTTTCGATTTATCCGAGTTGCACAGGAGCAAAAGAGGCAATGTGTACCTCTGTAATGAAGAAACAAAACCTTATTTTGCAGTTGTAGCAAGATATGTAGACAAATCTATGAAAGCTTCCTATTTTATTCTTTTTTTTATTTCCCCTCTCTGCTTCTCGGAAAAAAATAATTTTAGATTGCAAGTCCATTCAGAGCAAAATGTTTTTCCTTGCAGAAAGGGAATTTAACCTGATAATTCAGCTTTCTGTAGCTTGTGGCTCATTTTCACAATTGAATGAATTTTCTTTACCTAAACATTTTTGTTAACTGGTTTAATAAATTATGGCAGACCTTTAAAATACGACTGGAGTTGTACAAGGTAGATTTAGGGTCAGCTAAACAGTACAGCAGAAGGTAAAGGCACAATATTTTAGTGCTTTCAATAGGACTCTATTATTGTTGTTGTTGTCATTATTATTGTTGTTGTCGTTATTAGTATTATCATGTAAAGAATTGCTGAAGTCTAACATTGTTTAGTGATCATTTTTCAAAGTAAACTGCAAAAGCAGAAGGAAATTTTTAAAATCCAAAACCTATTTTGAACCATTTAGTTAGAAAAGCTAAATTAGAATAAAGTAATAATAGACTCAAAGCATGGAGTAATTTAAAACTGCAACAAAACTGGAAGAGGAAAATTAGATATTCAACAAATGACTTTTTCAACCAAACTCCTCAGGCTAGTTTATGGTATTTAGAATCTCTCTTCTTCTTTCCACACTTTCTTACAAAGCAGTTGCAGCCAAAACAGCAACAACTTTGCATTTCTTGGGAGGCAGCTGATGGGATCAAAATGCTGTTTCTTAAACCACAGAACAAACCAGGTTCGTGCCCTGCAATTTTGTAGGTGTTGTTAATAAATGATGGACAGATAAGACAAGTGTATCCTTTTGTGAACAAATTGTGAGATACCAAAGGGATAGTCTCTTTTTAAAAAATATCAAGTTACTTATGCTTTAAAAGTAAATTTCACCATTTTGTACGAATAGTTCAATTTAGATACCTGCTGCATTTAACATTATTGCTGAAATCTAAACTAGATATGTAGATTATGCCTTTTTTTTTTTGAGATCCCTAGAAAATACAAACTAATTAGCCACATATATCAAAATTATTAACCTCAGCTATTCAGTTGCCTTGCATTATGTAATATACGATCCAATAAATTAGGTAACACAACAAAACTAAAAATAAGGCTTAGCTCTCAGTACAAATTAAACTATAAAACATTATATTCAGTGCTTGAAAACACCCCATCTTTCATTTCTAAATTATTTAAAAACTAATAAAGGTGGTTTCATAAAACAAGGAAAACAAACTTGTTCCAATTTGTTGTGAAAAATAATGGAATCTGACAATTTTACGAAAGGACTTTGTATATGCAAAGCTACAAAGGCACAAATAAAACCCCAGCGATTACAAAATAGCTATAATCATCTGACTGGCATTTTACATACTGGATGCTTGTAAAAAATGGAGATTATAAATGTGCACCGTGCACCATAAAACCCCTCGTAGTGGAGAGGAGGAAAACCCCCCCAGACTCGAGAGCACAATCGCTCTGCGCCCTTCCTGCACCGCAGCCTTTCACACCGAGAAAGCTTTTAACCAAATCTGGCTGTGGGATGGGGATGGAAAATGGATGAAATATAGGTTTGTTCTGCTCTTTCATCCCTTTCTGGCAGCGGTGGGAGAAGAGACACTTTGGTGTCGTGTTAGTCACAGGGCAGAACTTCTTCCAGTGCCTCTGCCTTGTCCTGACCACGGTGCTGGGCTGAGAGACCCATAAATGAGGCTGTTTGTATTTAAAGCTGGCTTCCCAAATGGAGAGAGGGGGCTAACGCTGTCCCTACCTGTGCCCTCCGTTTCATCCCACAGCCAGCTAAGGAGAAATCCTCTTACACGCACGAAGAGGCTAAATGCAGCCAAAAGGAAACAGAAAACTTGTGTTTAAAAGTGGTGAGAGAGGCAACACTGAACACTCCAGAAAAGACAGACAGCACTTTGAAGATTTATGTAATTAAATTAATCTGGTGCTTATTCTCTAAAGCATCACTCCTGAATTAAGAAAGCCCACACAACCCAACTCTACATTTAAAAAACTCTCCAAATCATAAAAAATTAACTGATGAGGATTAACAAAAAGAAAAAAAAAAAAAAAAAAAAAAAAAAAAAAAAAAAAAAAAAAAAAAAAAAAAAAAAAAAAAAAAAAAAAAAAAAAAAAAAAAAAAAAAAAAAAAGAAAAAAGAAAAAAAAAAATCAAAGGAAATTCCCAAAGCACTCCCCGGCTGAATCAAAGTGTCACATCAGCAGAGTGGAAATACTGGAAATTCACATAAACTTCGAGGAGATTTTTTTGCTGTTGTTTAGGAACTACGCTAAGCAAGAAAGCTACTGTAGAAACCATCACAGTTTATATAGGTAAACTACCAAAACCAGCACCACACTTTTTTTTTTTTTTAATACCTTGGTGCCCCCTTTTGGTCTATACAGTTCAAGGCATTTTTCCCCCCTTAAAAAGTTTAATCATAAAAATACAGTAACTTTTCACTGGTGAAGTCTTAATCGAGAGACTTGAGGCTGCTCCACCTTAATGACGGTCCACTGTCCTCACGATCGATTTAGCCCCTGTGAACACGCACGAGTAGCAGCTAAGGTCAAAGGAAGGGCTGATTTCCATTAGAAAAATTACCCCACTGCAAAATCCTGCTTTATACAGTTACCCTGATAGATGGGAGGGAAAAACAATAAAATTAAAAAAAAAAAAATTAGGAAAAAAAATAGGAAGAAAGGAAAAAAAAAAAAAAGACCCATTCATTACCTTTGCTACAGTACACTCAATGGGGGAAGGCTGAGGCGGGTGTGCTGATGATAACTTTGCCTTGCTACGTTTGTACGTGCAACACTGAGGAGAGAAAAGCTCCCCAGCAAGTGGGAGCCTTTGCTCGGGTCCAGGTTCTCGGTGTGCTGCTAGCATCGCACCCAAACCTCGCTGGTCTTTGAGGAGAAGAAAGCAAAGTTTGAAATATATTAATTAGACCAGGGAAAAAAAAAATTAAATAAAAAAATCTCATCCTGACGACTTTCACATTGCGGTGCCAGTAATTACGCCACAGAAACAAGATCTTTCCACGTTCAACATCACTGTGTGAAGACGAGCTTATTTCCAGCAGGGATATTGAGTCCTGCCATCTGAAGGGCCAATCAAGTGTGAAGTACAGTATAGTTTTAGACTCAATTGAAAGGAAAAAGCTTGACTACTAGTTCATAGCATGACAACTTTCATGGATTAGCTCAGACCCTATTCTACTCCGTGAAAGGGTATCACAGCATGAAGACAGTTTTCAATGCACTAAACTTTAATAGCTGAGTGGGGGAGCCAAAGCTTCCTTTTGGTCTCTATAGAAACAGTATAGCCAAAATTTGAGACAAAATTAAGATTCCTGGGTTTCAGTCCTGTATTTACCCTCCAATCTCCCTATTCACAAAAAGTCTTCTGACTTCATACATGTATACATATATAATTATACAGATAATTACATACATGATTGTGCGTGCCATTTTTCCAACGGAAGATGAAGGGAGTTAAACCCAATTAACTAATTCCCCAGAGCCCCACCACTGCTTCCCAGTGTCCCCAGAGCCATGGGAGGAAGCAGCGGGTGCAGCGAGGCACCCGAGGAGGCTTCACTAGCACTCATAGGCATTTTCCTCCCATCCCAGCTGCAAAGCTGCGCACCCTTCATAACCCCATCCAGCCAGAGCCCTCACCCTTTTAGCATCCTCCAGAAAGATAGAGATTTTATTTAGGCACCAGCTGCCCAAGCAAGGCATCACCAGCACGGAGCATCTTCACGGGGAATGCCGTGTTTCACCTATTATGCCAGAGGCTGATGGAAACCTCACCTGCAAGGAGCAGTGGAAGAGGACAACAGCATTCAACACAGAAGAAGTTCCCCACTTGTTTTCTAAGAAAAGCACTCTCATGATGAATTTAAACTCTGAGAACAAGGGGGAAAACACTTTCTCATGACAAACTCTTGCCCTATTCCTCTCCCCCAGCCCACGAGGAGAGTGTGGGTGGGTGTTGTGCCCATGGGACACAGGACCAGCCCACATCACAGTGCATGTACTCATCACACAGGGGTGCAAAGATAACCAGTGCCAGCTTCTATGCAGCATTAACCTCATTTCTTGTTTCACACTTGACCGTGCATTCTCTAACTACAGTTCCCAGTAGACATTACCCCTACACACCGACACATAGGCAAACATTTTCTCTTCCCACCTCCCACACATCCTTTCACCTGTGCTGTGGGACTGAGGCTGGGCACGCCCCAGGGTGTTACCTGCAGGTACCCACGCTGTGCTTTCCACCCGCTCTATTCAGGTTTGACACCTGCATCTGGGCAGTGATGAGGGCGATCTGGCTCCCTCGGCAAACTTGGCTGGGCCACAGATGTCTTTCTTCCCCCCCTTCCCTCCCCGCACCGCTGGGATGTCTGGGTGCCTCCTATGGAGAGTCTACATTTCACTATAATGCTCCTACCCTCCCTTTGTGGTGCACTAATCCTGAGATACCAGAGCCAGAAACTTGCCTTGCGTGGCCAGAGAAGTGATCTCCCCACCCCCTCAACCCCCCCACTTGCGCTTGAAGTTAATCCAGTTCTGGGCAGGGGCTCCCCGCAGCATCCCCGCTATCAGAGCTGTGAATTTCTGCACAGGCAGCGGGTTTTGATGAAGATTTGACACTAAGGCAGGGCCATCCTCAGGGTGCTGACACCCCAGGACAGCTCCCCTTGGCCATACAAGGAGCCAGGATCAGCCCAAGACCATCACCCACTGAGGAAATAGCTGCTGTGGGCGCATGCACTTCACCGCAGGGATCACAACTGGCTGCATTGCCCCAACTGCCCTGATCCTCTCTCCTGAGGCTCTCCAAAATGCTGTCCCTTGGAGGTCCCATAGACCCCGGCATCACCCTGCAGGCCTCACCTCAGCAGCATCCCAGCAAGATTCAAGGCTCCCACAAGGGTAGGAAAAGCCCAACATCACCCATAGTCCCTCAGATAAGCATCCCAACTCCTCCCTGAACACACTCCACTGTGTACGTCTGCTAAAGAAGTTCTGCAAAGGCAAACTTTGAATAAAAAGTGCTCCAACTCACAAGGAAATAGAGACTGCACATTAGCTCATTGACCCAGCATAGCTCAAAGCTGATATCTTACTCCTCTCCATACCAGTGAGTCATGATGTCCCAGGAGCAGCAGCTCCACCACCTTCCCAATACAAGCTTTCTGCAGAGATGCAAAGAGCTGCTTGCTGTAAAACACCCCTCTCCTTTGAAACTAATCCCAGGTGAAAAGTGAGATCCTGTGGCCACAAAGAGTATCCAAAAGCAACAGACACCTGATGTCCTTAATAAACCTGGGTCATAACTTCCTCCCCCTTAGAGCCTGCCCCTTACTTGGGCATCACTTCACAGACTGAGTGCAGAGGTCCAGTTTTCCAAATATCTCTTCTTTGTGCTCCAAAGAGTGCTAACAGGCACTTGGCAGACAGGCAAACACTCACACACAGGAGAAAAAGCAGCAGCACCATTCACTGTGCCATACACAAACTCACATTCCCTCCTGGAGGAGGTAGCTTTGGACCAGGCAGGCTTGCTCAGGTACTCGCTGTGCAAAAAGACTGTTGATGGAGAGCTCAGCAGTGTGTGCAGGCTGGAGGGAGAGCTACCTGGTCACAGCCCTCATGCTTCAGGCTGGACCGCAGCCTCCAAGGCCATCTCCATCTGGAGAAGTCTGGACCATCAGCAGCAATCTGGGGAAAAACCATCCTTGGAAAACAGTGCCTTTTCTTGTCCCCTGGTAGAAGGGATGAAATCCCTGTGGTCTCAGCATCAGCAAAATTGCCTTTGATGCTCAGACCCACTCTTCATTAGGACTGCAAGCAGAAATTAGAGAGACATGCTTATGGTTAAACACTATTTCCTCTGTTGGTTAAACACTGCCTACTTCTCTCTCCATTAGGAACAACATCTCCAAAGCCCCCGGGTCTAATAATAACCCTGAACGGAGACGTTTTCCTTTGTGCAGTGCTCAGCTATGGAGGGAAACAATTTGCAGTTTAAATTATTTCCTTTCAACAGATTTGAGAAAGCCACGCTGCAGTAATTACACACTCTGAACAGGTCCTGTACCCCCCGGTCACTCCCTGAGCAGCCAGATATTGTTCCAAGGCTTGGATCAGGCCCAGTGCACCAGGACCAATCATTTTGCACAGGGCAGAAAGTCCAAAACTGGGTCCATGGGCACGCATTGACAGCTCAATCGATCGCTGGGCTCCTGCCACCGACAGTCACGTGTGCAGGGGCGGACGGATTCAATGGTCCTTTTTAAACCTGCTCCCGGGGCCCTCGGGCCCTACATGTGTCACCGTGTTAGATGCCATTGATGCTGCAGCAGCCTCTTTGCAGCACATCAAAGCATATTGGAGCGAACCCCTCATGTGTGAAGGGAAAGCCAGCCTTTTGCACCAAGGAATCTCCTCTATTCAGCCCCGGAGAGGTTTGTGTTTGGAGTCAAACCACACAGACATCCATGTGGCCAAGCCCTACAGTGAGAGTGAAACAATGCTGACAGCATGTCACTGACACCTAACCCCATTCCTGTGGGACATGGGGAGCAGAGGATTTGGGGTTTGGCAGCAGGAGAGGCAGGTTTGTCTCCCTGCAAGCATCCCAAGGTGAAGAAGCTCACCAGACTCATGCCAGATGGTTGAAATCAGGCTGTGCCATCCCCCGTGCTGGGACAAGATGCTGGGAGAGCCCAACCTCATTTCTTCTCCAGCCAAAGCAGAGACAGGGAAAGCTTGAGGCAGCTCTGCCACTGCCCTGGCACAGCAGAGATATCTGAGAGCAAAAGTCATCCATCACTACACAATTTCTGATCCCCAAACCAACCCTGGACATTGCCTGATATTAGCAAGACACGGCCCAGGAGCATGTGGATCCATTGCTTTTTTTGGTTGTGTCAGTTTCCCTTAGGGCAGATCTTGTTAAGGAGATCCAAACTAGCCTATTTGCTATGGGTTGATACAATCTTCCCCATCTTGCAAGGTCCAGAAAGGCCTCACACAGTGCAGTTCATCCTTCCCACCGCAGGGCTTTGTGCCAGGAACACAGCTGTGTCCATCACAACTCTGCTGGCAGTGTCCCTTCCCCAGGAGAGTGGCACAGGAGCAATGCTTAGGATGGGGAATCCACTTCCCTGAGCCTTGGAGCCTGCACTGCTCTGAAGGAGGAAGATACACGGTTACTTGGCTGAGAGCATCAGCAAGGCTTGGATGATCTGACACTCAGCCCAGACGGATGGGTTTTCTGCTTGGGAGTGGGATATCTCCCCTGCACAGGAACACAGACACTGACCAGTGCCAGCTGCCATGGGCACAGGAAGGCACTGGACCTCACTGGGGGAAGGGTGCACACATCTCCCTGCCTCTCCAGGTATGCTGCACAGCTTGGGTTGGTGCTGGGAGACCCTTCACTGTCTCCAAGGAGACCTCTCTGCCAGATATGAAACACTGTGGGAAGTCTCACTGTGCTTCAGTTTCTCCTCCTCATTCAGCTGCAGACTCCTAAATGGGCACTAGTCTGATAATCCTTTTTTTCCAAGGCACATCATCTGCCTTTCGTGTTCTCTCTTCGATCTGCAGCTTAGCCTTCCCTCTGGAGGAATCCTCTAAAGGATCTCTCATACTTTTTGCTGCCCAATTTTTGCAGCAGTCAGGGCATAAACTGTTTGATAGACTCTGAAGGGTTGCCTTTGTTTCCCCAAAAAGGTGCTATTTTGTTCACAAACACTCCAAGGAGCTCAGCAGTCTCTTTTCCTTCCTCTCTTTTCATCATTTTAACACAAAAGCTGAAGCTTTTGAAATCCCGTTTTCATGTTGGTGCATTAGCTATCTGAATTCCTCCCACATTTGAAGCCTGAGTC